ATGATGATGATGACGATGACTGGGATGATGATGATGACGATGACTGGGATGATGATGATGACGGTTATGATGATGATGACGATGACTGTGATGATGATGAGGACGATGAAGAGGACGATGGAGCACCTTGATTTGAATGCAGTGTTTGAAAGCATGCTGAATATTTCGTAGTCTACCTTTTTACTTTCCCTCTCTTATTTTTTTCTCTCCATTCCTCTCTCTTTTTCTCTATATCTCCATTTCTTTCTTTATTTCTCCCATTTTACTCTCTCTCTTTCTTAAAATCTATTTATTTCTCATTCGTTTCATTCGTTTTCTCTCTCTTTCTCTCTCTCTTTCTTTCTCTTTTCTCTCTCTCTCTCTCTCTCTCTCAGTCTCTTTCTTACAATCTATTTATTTCTCATTCGTTTCATTCATTTTCTCTCTCTTTCTCTCTCTCTCATTCTCTATCTTTTCTTTCTCTCTCTCTTTCTCTCCTCTCTCTCTCTCTCTCTCTCTCTCTCTCAGTCTGTTTGTTGATAACACTGTGTCACTGTCATTGCTTATAAGACAGTTTAATGTTAGCAGATAATACTCTCGTCATACGCAATTTATAACCGTAAATAATTTATTCATTCTGTCTGTTTCCGGGTTTTATATTTTCCCATTTTGTCTCTCTCTCTCTCTCTCTCTCTCTCTCTTTCTTACTTTCACTTTCTTTTTTTTCTTTTTCTTCCTTTTCTCAACTTTTCATTTTCTATTTTTCTCTCTCCTTCTTCTATTTTTTTCTTCTCTCTTTCTTTTTCGCTTTCTCCCTCACTCCCTTTCTTTCTTTTTCTCTTTTTTCTCTCTCTCTCTCTTTCTTCCTCCCTCTACACACGCCACACATATTTATATTTATTTATAGATTTTATTTCATATTTGCACAGCGTAAATAGCACAGTTACAGTTGAAAGCTTTTCACAAATTTTATCTTCTTGCCTATTTATTGTCCTAAAATTTATTTCTAAAAAAATTTGTTTGAAATTAAAATTAATGTATTAATGAATGAATAAACTGTTGCAATACAATTACAATACAATGAAATACAATACAAAACAATAGAATGAAATACAATACAATAAAATGCAACACAATACAAAACAATTTCAAAACAATTACAATACAATACAATATAATACACATATATTCACCAACCAACACATAAACAAATAAACCAACAAATATTTTCAAGTAAATTTCGACACTCGTATATACATTCATGCATGTATATACGAGTGTACTGTAATGTATATACATGAATGTATATACTGTACATGCATGCATGTACAGTACACACAAAAAAACAGGAATTTATATGCTATACAAAATACACACAAATACATTTAAACACACCTTTCTACATACCCCCTACACACACTCACACACACACATATACACACGCACACACACACACACGTACATACACACGCAGACTTTCACACAGACATTCACACATACACACAGATACACACATATACACACACGTACATACACACACAGACATTCACACAGACATTCACACATAAATAATTTAGGTTTAATATGATGAAGAAATAACTGGCGTTGAAGGTAATAAATCAGTTCTTTGACCTTTATATTTTATGGGGTCGTTTTTCTGTTCTGGGTTCCTTTAGCTGCTATCTTTCTTAAGTTTGATTACTATTATTACTCTCTCTCTCTCTCTCTCTCTCTCTTTCTCTTTCTCTCACACACACACATCCACATATACACACACGCAAACATTGACACGTACAC